AAATGAACTAATGTCCCTACCATTGAAGATATGTAAATATTTCATACATATATATTTAGACATGAATATACACATATTTGTAGGTGAAAAATGATACCTGAAATAGTATAAAGAAACTTTTTTCCCGTGTATCAAATTGAATATATTTGAATGTTTGTTTCCCAGTTGTTCTAATATAACATTTGGATGGCAGTTTCTATGAATATATACATATATATATATATATGAACATATTTTTGTACGTATGCATATACATACATACATGTATATAACTATATGTATGAAAATGCAAATTATTGATTTCACCAACATTAGATGCAGAAGATATTTTGCTATAAGATTACTTTTGTTTTTGTTTGTTCTTTTTTTTACAGAATTGTTTTTTAAGCAAAGATACTTATATACACATAAGGAGACATGCTTAATTAGTTATTCAACTGATTAAAAACACAAAGAACGCAATAAGCCATTGAAAAGTAAAATGTTATACATACATATGTTTTACATACATATATTATTGCTGTCGTAATAGAAAATGTGTAAAATCACTACTCACCCGATAATGAGATATGAGATGGGGTTTTTTATTTCCTAAAATTCCATTTCCATTTAAAAATATTCCAACCAATAATATAAATATATTTAAAAGTATTATTTATGGTGCACCTAAAATTGTCTACTAAAACCAGTTTTTATTGCCTTTCTTTTAATATTTCATTTACCATCTTCGTTGACTTTGGCTCGAATTTAATTTTGTTTTGCTTACTATATTTGTACATATATAGAGTTGCATTTCGAAGTATTTACTTTCAGCTATTTATGTATTATGTAACAAAAATTGTTATTTTTCCTTATGTTATACATATTTTTTATCGTCTCAGGAAAATCAAATAGGAAATACGAATATAATCTTACTTCTATTTATATTGTTATAATCACCGTGGATATTAGCACTTTTTGGTATATTCAGATAAATTTCACAAGCACCTCCTTACTTTTATCCTTCGTCTATAATATAAAGAAGAAGTTTTGCATATGTGTCAATAAGTTTGTTTATGATGGTTTTTCTTAATTATTTAATCGTTTAACCAGATTTTATAAACTGTAGCCAATTGTTTATGTCTGAATACGTATTTACGGGTTAAGAAAATCAGCAATTTCAAAACAATCCTGCAACTGTAAGCAATGGCAACTCTGAAGTGTATTAGCAAAACAAAAACAGCTGTCATTTTATTTTTCTTTGTCAGTTCGCCCAGATTGACCTAAAGGAGCTCTTAAACTAATATAAGAATAAATTTTGTTGGAACATTTATGTACTGCATAATTAACTCAATATTAAATAATCGATGTGCAGTTGTTGGTACATTATTCTAAATGCGGAAATAATTAAAAACTTAATTTCGCACGGGTTCGCCTGAAAATTACCATTGAGTTCGTCGCTGTCATTAAATTGATAAAAGATGGAAGCGATAAAGGCAAGTGGTATATCTTGCAAAAAAAGTTAATTTGTTTTATATGTAAAATATTTTATTTGATAACAGAACATTTCGCTTGGGATAATTTACGGCCTTTGGGATAGTATAAGAGGCATAGGGTTACTATGGCATATAGATGCAGAGATAAATAAAATAAATGAGGAAAAAGAGGCGGAAAGGCGACGGCGGAAACGAGAAAGAGAACATCATCGTAACCCATCACCGACACCTTCGTCAGCAGCTGCAATGGCCAGAGAAGAGCTAAAGGAGTTAATACAACAAAAAGATATACCGGATGAACGAAGCATCAATAGTATATTAAAAGGTTCAGATAAGAATGAATTGACTATTAAAAAACCGTGAGTAAAGATTGTGCATGTTTTTGGAAACTTTCGACTAAATTATACACTTTTTCCAAACAGAGAAAAGAGGATCGCTAAACAAGTATTGAAATGTTGCCTATTGAATGGTGGTTTCGCTTGGCTTAGTATCGTTTTATTCGATCAATTTGTTTTGCCAATTGTCAAGTTCGCAATAAGTTTGTTTTTTAGCGACGATCCATCTAATTTTAAATCTTTATGGAGTTTCTTACAACCCATTTTATCTGTCATTTTTGGTATGACATGGTTATTGCCCATATTTCTGCTTAGCAAATTTGTAAGCTCCTTGTGGTTCGCGGAGATCGCAAATTCCGCCTATCGTATACGGAAGGGGAAGCCCCAGCTAATACCGAATTTCAGCAAATTAATAGCAGATTTCCTATTTAATTTTTTGGTACAAGTATTGTTCCTTATACAAAGTATGCTCGTCAATTTATTACCCATACCATATATAGGTGAAATTCTATGTTTTATACATTTGAGTTTACTCTATTCATTGTATTGTTTCGAATACAAATGGTTCAACATGGGTTGGGAGCTACACCGTCGGTTGAATTATATCGAAAATAACTGGCCATATTTTCTTGGTTTTGGAATACCTTTAACCGTACTAACCAACATGACCAATTCAATTATTGTAAGCAGCTGTATATTTTCTATATTTTTTCCGCTATTCATCTTGAGTGGCAATGAAGCAATACCCATCGTCGATGCAGCGTAAGTATAAAATGTGTTCTTGTTTACTGATTTTTGTATCTAATAAATTTATATTCGTTTCTTTTAGCAATTTTTCAATGCGCCTTTTTTCGCCCGTGATATTTACATCTAATTTAATATTCACACGTGGAGGCCCCCCAAAGTTAAATGCAGATAAATTAGCTCAGCAGAAAAAGCAACTACTCATACAACAAGGAAAGCAGTTAGAAGAACACAATTTGATGCAACAGCATATAGAAAATGAATATTTAGGACGTAGTCGTAGTCGGCAAACTGATGAAACGCCAGATGAATCTTACAATTTACAACGCCAACAGTCATCACGCTACTCTCATTCACCGTCACCAAGCTCAAGCCAATATCGTTACCAACAGCCACCAAACCAACCCCGAGTACCATCAACAATGCGCCCCATAAATGCTTTTCCTGAACGCGCTCAGTTCGTGAATACAGTTCCAACAATTACACCTACACATATTTTCCCGAGAGCGCCATCATCTGCTAGCTCATCTCAACATTCAACACAAACAGTTCGTCGCAGGTAGATGAACACTTACAGACAAAAATGAAAATCAAAAATTTAAACCACACAGCTGTCGACTACAAAACGAAACTGACTTAAAAGTCTTAAAAGTATCGGCTGCTGAAGATAAACAACTGAATTATATCCAAATGGACTTTAAAGTGTGATCAATATCTTTTAGTTTCGCTTTATGTATATTCATACATAAGCTTAAGATAAGAAACGCTTTATATGCTTGTTTCGCTAATACAAGTAATTTCCCCTTATAATCCTTATGACAATTACATACATTTATATTTTTAGAAGCTGATTTTTATTTACATATTTAGTAAGCATATCGCATATTAGGTATAAAATTCTCAATATATGTCGTAATGTAATGAATCGGACAATTTTTTTACTGTTGTACGTTTTATATGTACATACATATATACGTATATATATATACATAAATATACACGTGGGATAAACGATTTAAATAAATTTCATCAAAGTAACTTTTATAGACACGCTTGTATTTATTTTAAATCTAACAATTCATCTGGTGGTTCATCCTTGACTTCAGGCATATTGTGATACGTTGATACGGCGATCAATGTTTGCAATGCGTCAAAACTCATTGTTGGATCCTTATCTTCAAGAAGAGACAAGTTTCCATTGCCATTTGTATCTCCTTCATCCAGAAATCCTCTAAAATTCGAGCATTGTGTATAGCCAGGATCCATTTGGAGCAGAGATTTTACAGTCGGATTAGCGAGTCCGAAAAACTTTTCACCTTGCACTTGCAACGGCAACTGCACCACATCGACTAATGTACGCTGAAGTGTTTCCAATAAACCCTTATGGCAGATATAAGCTGTTTCGCCAAAGAAAACACTGTCCAAATCATTGTCTGGTATTATTTGGAATTGTGGCATTCCAGCATTGTTAAGTATTTTACAGGTATAAACACATTTTCGTTGTGGATCCTTTGGGTGGGCATATATACGTGTAGCAACATAACCAACTGGATATATCCAGTTACTTGTGTGGAAATTTGGATTTATGGGTATAATCTCACCAGGTGAGTGTATAAGTATATTACATAGATTGATTGGATACATAGGTTTTCCACTGGCATCTAAAATCACTTTATCTCGTGGTTTATAACGTCTATCTACTTTTTCTTGCCCCTGCAGTGTTGGTATACGTTTCTTAGGACCGCGTTTTTTGGGCATCGGATTAGCTACTTTGCTTGATCCTTTTTGTTGCGAAACCTTAACATCGTGTTGTTCCATTTGCTGTTGTTCTAAACTCTCAATACCCTCATGACGCATAAGTCGTTTAATCAAATAGCGACGTTCTTCGCGGGCTGTTGCCAAATCAGCTTGGACCTGTGCAACCTCATCACACAGCGCAGCATTTTCCTAAATATATGCGAATTTAATTGATAATAAGACAACCCAATACAGAGTACTTACAAATACAAAGTTTTTAATCTGACGTTTTAGGCGTTTATACTTTGATTTATACTTTAAATTCATTACACGCGTATATTGACTGTTTTGATAATGTAACATTGTTTGAGGTTTCGACATGTTGTATCAGTAGAAGCGGTAATTTCCCTTTTTATTTAATTTCTTTGCTATAATACTTTTGTGAAAAAAAACCATATATAAATTATTTTAAGTCCATTTATTTGGAAGTTATTTTTGACAATTCACATTTGTTGATAACATACAGACATGCATTTTCTATTAAATGCAATGTTGTAGAACTTACTCAAAATTCCCCCTTTAATTATTTAGCATTGGACATTTGATTCTAATAAAAGTTATCACGCACTACAAATTTATTTTTAATGAACTTATAATTAAATTAAAAAATTTTTTTAATATATACTGCAAAATATAATGTGTGCTGTATGTATATAACCGATATTTATACAATAACAAATATTGAGGTTTACAAAAAGCAACAATGCACTTGCAATAAACAAAACAAAAGGTAACAAGAAAATGTTAGAAGTCAAGCGAGAAGAAAAAGAGAAGTGTGGAAGCAGTGTAAAAAAATCAAAAAAAAACCCAAGAAAGACTGATGTACGATTAAGAAAGGGGCATTTATTGCTAAAGTCGTTGTTTTATATTGGTATATTTAAAAAATTTCGAGAATAAATGAACAAAAGAGATTAATTAGATCGAATTTCGGATATTACCAAAGTTGTAGATTTGTTGTAGCAGCTATTGAACACAGAAAGTGAAAACTAATTATAAGGGCATAACGGAGGATACACAGAAGAATATATAAAGGAAGCAAATCAGCTGTAAAGGAGCAAGTCTATTGTATTTTGATTTATTGTTACTGGCTGTGATAATTTACTAAACACTGGAAATTAAAAATTGTATTTATAAAGTTCATTTAAAAATAGGTAAGTAGGCAATTACACCGAGGTCACATATCCATTTTCGCAACCCAAGTTTGCTTATTTTTTATATAAACAACTAAATCGAAGTTTCGCTGTTTGGCGCTGACCTTCATGTCGCTTGTATTTATTTATAGTTTAACACTTCTTGTATATTACGGAATTTTAAGCCTTTGCTCATAACGGAGAGTGAAGGTAGTATTAACTACTTTGAACTGTATGATAAGTTATTCATTCTACAACATCTATCTAATCACATCAGAGATAGCTGTTTACTGTTATCGTGTTGGATACAAGTTCATTATATTTTGAAGCTAATTGTATTCAAAATGCAATGGATAACTCACTTAGATGGGGGGCCACGTCGAGTGAATCATGCAGGTGCTTGTGTTGGTGATAGGATTTACTCCTTTGGCGGTTACTGCACTGGAGATGATTATCGGTTAAACGAATGTATAGATGTTCATGCGCTAAACACCAATACGTTGCGCTGGTCGCTCGTGCCTCAAATGCGTGACGAAAATGGTTTGCCGTTAAAGTATCCTGAAGTGCCATTTCAACGGTAAGTGAAGTACAATAATACGAGTATAATGTAATAATGAAATATCTCATTTAATCTTTCAGATATGGTCACACAGCTGTTTCATACGGAGAAAAAATATTTATGTGGGGCGGTCGTAACGATGATCAATTATGCAATATTCTATATTGCTTTGATCCGCAAACTATAAGTTGGTCTCGCCCTGATGTAAAAGGTGCTATACCAGGCGCACGTGATGGTCATTCAGCATGTGTAATCGGCGATTGCATGTATATCTTTGGAGGATTTGTTGAAGAGATAAATGAATTTTCATGCGATGTACATTGCCTTGATTTTCGGACAATGGAGTGGCGATATATACAAACATTCGGTGCACCACCATCATTTCGAGATTTTCACTCCGCAGCCTCTATATATGGCAGGATGTATATTTTTGGGGGCCGTGGCGATAAGCACAGTCCGTATCATAGTCAAGAGGAAATGTACTGCCCAGAGATAGTGTTTCTAGATATGAAAACTAAAATGTGGCATAGACCGTCCACCACTGGCAAAGTGCCGGTGGGTAGGCGAAGTCATTCTATGTGTACGATATAATATTTTTTCAGGCCATGTGGAAGTCTTTAAATTTTACTATTTTCAGTTATCTACAATGGCCTTATCCATATATTTGGTGGCTATAACGGTATTTTGGAACAGCATTTTAATGATTTTTACACATTTGATCCAAAATCCAATTGTTGGAATCTTATAAAACCTTTTGGACAACCACCAACTGCGCGACGACGACAAGTTTGTATAGTGAAAGATAAACGAATGTTTCTTTTCGGTGGCACAAGGTGAGTATGAAAAATTTTAATTTTCAAACTATTTCCTTTAAAATAAGCCATCTCAAATAATTTTATGTAAATTATTTTGATTTTCAGTCCCCATCCTCATGACAGCCTATTAATAGACAATAACGACACACATCTTTTAGACTTTGAGCCTACTCTACGTACATTGGCAATTTTAGCTGTAATAAATCATCGTTTAGATACGACGTGGTTGCCTAAAAAGCTTAAGTAAATATTTTCTAAGTATATTGCAAACTATGTTTATAATATAATAGTATTATAATTTTCAGGGAAGAAATACGCTTAATGACACAGCCCAACTCGTTAACACGGCCACTTAACCATGCTGGTTAGCTGAAAATGCAATAAGTAATATTCCTGACTTTAAATACAATACTGTCCTAGAAACCAAACGTGCAAATTCTCATCTACCTACATACCTATACAGCACCAGCATACTAGAATCAATAGAAAACTAAAATAATGGAGAGAGAAGAAAAGCAGCATTTTATAAAGTAAAGAACATAAAAAGTAGCTTAGCTATATATTATATGTGTCATTCGCACTGTTCCGCATTTATTTTTGTTATGCACAAATTTTCATTTTTTCGTTAATTATTGTTTTTTGCACAACGCTCATCTAAAATTTAACAAAGCATACAATGGAATGTTTAGTTTTGTAGTGTTTTTTTTTCTATGCTTATCATCAAGTTTACCGATTTATAAATGTTACTAGCCTTTTTCTTAATTGCCCAGTGCTTATGTATGAGTCACATATTTGCGTATTGACTTCGTTTAATAGTGTATGTAGATATTATCCTCATACAATATAACTGAAGAATGAAAAGGAAATCAAAATACTTTACAATGACAAACAGAATACGTAAAAAATACCTACAAGTAAAAACAGTAATTTAATTAAAATGTTTATAAGGCAGTAATATGTATCATATACATTTGGAAAATAAATATGTAACAATTATTAAAATAAACAACAGTAAGGATTGATTACTATATTTAACATAATAATTTAATATTACTATTATAAACGCTTTTTTCCCGTTAGATCTACATCAATCAAACGACTCATATTTATATATGTATTCTTCAATTATTTCCATATTTCGCCACTAAGCGCTTATTCTTACAACGAATCATTTAATATTGACGATCAATGACGTCAATAATGCCATTGAACCCATAACACAGGTATCTTTAGCAGTACGAAGCAGATGCATGTTACTGTGGCTAATATTAAAAATAATATAATATTATTTTTTTATTTATTCATCCATAACGTACCGTAAATACTATACTTACGTGCTTCTTATTTGATTCATTGTGAATTGACCTCTTACTGCCCAGTTATTTTTCTGATTTTATAATGAGAGTGAAGTTAATAAAAAATAAACCGAGAAGTATTGATAAATTGGCATAATTTAACTTTTTTTTCAACACTTTTCTATTTTCGCAAACTATTTTTCACATACATATGTATATCAAAATCGGAATTTGAAAAAATCAGGTTTAATGTGTATAAGTTGAGGTTATTCTAACTCCGCTGATAATAAGATGAAATTTTAAGGATAAGTACCATCATGGGGTAATTAAGTTTTTTTGCTATTTAAGACCAACTGTTTCCATTTCGAAAAATTTATTATTAATATGTTATTCTAAGTTAACTCTTCGCTTTCCCAATTAAAAACCTTTTCAGTTTAAGCAATTAGTATTTTATTGATCATTTATTAAGTAAATAAAATGAAAGTGCTTCTACAATCTAAATTTTTACAGCAAGGACATTTCCAAAAAACCAACCTGCATTTACAATATAACAACTTACATACAATTAATTCTCATACAAAATCGCATACCACATATGAATTAAAAAACATTGCCATTTAAATGTACAGTTATGTATATGTATATAATTATGCCACCTAATTTACTGGAGTTGCTGCTGGTGATAATAGCAAGAGACAAAACCCTTCTTTTACGACAGATGAAAATAAAGGCAAATACTCAATAAGCAACAGAAGTAGCAACAAAGCTAGAGTCAACCATATAAAAGTCCAACGCCAATTTACTGCCATTGCTTGACATTTGTGCTTTACTATACACTATAAAAATTTAGACTTTTGTTGCTTTTGGCTACGCAGTTCACTCCAGGAAGGCAAGGGTGTTTCTTTGAGTAGCGTCCAGTTAGGTGACGGTACATCAGGTGACAACCAATTAAAATCTGCGATATCTGTATAATTGTTTTGAGCTTTGTCTAATCCTGCCAATTGAAAGTCCTCATCGATTGTAGCGTAATTATAATTATAGTTTGCTATTTCAATTTGCGTACAATCTTCAATAATAGCTCGACATGTGACGTGTAAATATATGCGACAAATGTTTGAAGAATGTAATCGGAGCTGTTGGCAAGCTAAAGCTAGCGTTGTACGCTCACAATTTTCCGCAAATAGCGAACGTGAAATTGGCCCACAAAGGAATGTACAGTCGATGGCCTGCGATATTTGTACTGATCCTGCATGACCACAAAGCTCAACAAAACAATTTTTTAGGTTAGAAATTGTTATATCTTTATTGTTTAGTTCATCACCTTCGAGGCAAATATATTCATCTTCTCTATTCGATAACGTCCAGGTGAATGAAGTGTTGTCAGTTTTTGATTTTTCTGGCATATCAACTTTATCGGTAGAAATGTTCACAACTCTTGGATTGACTAATACCTTCGGTGCTACTTTTTTTCCACTAAATCCAAACTTCTTTTTCGGTATCAATCGCAAACGACACTCTTCGCAGCTGCTACTTAAGTCATTAAGCGTATTCTGACAGGCTTTAATTTTAAAGTCTGTAAGAAACATTGTTGATGTGGTAAGATAACGTTGCAATTCTTGAATTTGTATCGTTAGATCAGCAAATATGCGTGTTAAATCCGCAGTATTAGAAGTTGCTCTATCTGTAGCAGCTGATATTAGCGATATATTTTGTATTTCTTCTTCTATTGCTCGGGCACGTTCAGTAAATGTTTGAGCAAAATAATCAGTACCTTCCAATTCGACATTTTCCTTATTACGTTGCTCTATTTTTACGTCTAAATAATTTTGGCGTTCTTTATTGCGCTTATTTAAACGCTCCAATATGTTTTCCTTCTTAGAATCGGCATTCTCCCCACTATTCAAAGTAGTGCCACTGTCATGAAAATTTGCACTCATCTTGCTGTATGTGTTAACGTAGAATCACTTTCAAGTTGGTGGTGCTTTTGAGTTTACTTTTCCTTCTTCTGCATGTAAATAGGCGGTGCTTCACCAGTAGCCGCCTCACGCATACGTTGCATAAATTGTAACTTTTTAAGTTCTTCCTTGGTTAGATGTGCTGGACCTCCTGTGGCTTTTATGCGCTCTATTTTCTCCTCAGATGGTTCGGTAAGCAACATAAGTCCGTACCCGACGCCGCCTGAACAAACTAACCAGATTAGAGATTTAACATACGGATTGCTTGCCATTTAGAAATTTAATTGAATTATAGTGGTGATTTAATATAAATAATTATATAGAACTTTTACACAAGCGCTAATTTTAGACTTGGTGATAGTTTTGTGGGAGTATAGATTTGTTAAAAACGTAATGTACCCAAATTATTTGATTATTCTCGTTTTTCGCTCTCAGCTCGCCAGATTGCGGAATCGACTTGCCTCAAGTTGCTATTACCCAAAACCTCGCCCACTTTATAGTAGTAATCTAGTGCAAATGGGAAGTTGTCGTTGATATAGTGGCGGAACTCTGAAAATATGGAGATATAATTTGATTTAGAATAATTCTGCAAGATATAGATAAACATTTGCAACTAAATGTATTGAAAAATGTTACAAAAATTTATTTTAAATATTGTATTTAGATTTTGTTTCACAAGCAAACTTATTCTATTGAATATTGAAAGTTTATTCGCAAATAATCTGCATTTCAAAACAAAGAAAAAACATATTGTTTAGCAATTAAACACTTTTTTACGTCTAGAAACACACATCAGACGATTGTCACCCACACTGTGCGCACCCGTCATGATTCATCCACTATACACCTAACTCTATTGTGCTGAGTCTTGTATATGAATTTGACGTAAACTTCCGTCATTTATATTACAAATTTGTACAAATACAAATTTCATAACAAACCCGCATTGTGTAACAATTTTATACATTTACAGTTTTTTTTTGTTAAATTTTGTTAACTTTAAACTTTAATTAGTGATTCTTCAACTTTTATTTTAGGTTGTGTAAGAATGTTTTTCGCTTACCACGATTTGTGTTCATACGATAATATACTCCGTAAGAGGCTGCAAAGCAAACAGCTTCCGCGACGAATAATACTTTAGCACTTCCTTTTAAAAATTTCCAGAATGATGATTTTGGCGATTTCGGCAACATCACAGCAAAATAAAAATATATTAATAGTTTATTAACACTTTGAAAAAAATTTCATCATGTCTTTGACTGCACACTTTTATTACGGTTAGCTTTACAGATGGATGTCAATACTGAGGTGTTCTATCAAAAATGTGGCAACATTGTTATAAAAATTACCAATTTATTAACCTTTGCTAGCATGCAGCTATTGCAGTATTTTTTATTAGAAGTTGCAGAGATGCTCTATTATTATCTACATTTAAAATTTTTTTAAATTTATTTTGTATGTTACAAATGGCTTCTTTTTTGGGAGTATTTTCAGTTGTTAAACTACTTTTTACTATAGTTTACAAGTTTATATTAATATCAGTCACAATAGTGTAATTATGTTACTTGGCAGCACTACGCACCAAGTCGGGTAACTTTGTGAGTTGTCGCTAGCATGGTCGCTAGTCTAATATAAATCCGAGTTGATGTTTACATGTTTTACCATTTACGCGTTCAAGTTTTTTGACCACAATATAATGAAACTTGCATAGTGATTTAATTAAAACATCTTTAACAACCTAGGAACAAAATGTCCTCCGATGAAAGGCAGTAAGAATCAATTTGATATATAAAATCTACACGAAATAAATAATAATAACAAAATTGTAGAAAACGTAAACGGTGGAGTGTGCGCGAAACAAAAAGCTTACTAAAATGCTATTTAGCTCATAAAGATGAATTTGTTCACCACGGAAAAAAGAGGTTGGCATATACACATGTTTTGGAAGACATGATAGCGGATGGATTCACAGTAAGGAACTAGTATATATACATATGCTTTATATAAATCATAGATAATATTTTATATAGGATTCATCGGCAACGGTAATAACATTGGAAAACAAAATACGGAGTTTACATTCCACATATAAAACTGCGAAAGAAAATGAAGCCAAAACCGGTGTATCCCCAAACAATGCTCTATGCATGGCAGAAATGGAAGAAATTTTTGGAGATATGGATTCCGGTTCAAATGATCATAGACTACAAATGGGCATAAACAGTGGAAATGCGTTTGCAATGTCACCAACAGATACCGTTTTTACAGCGCATAATGTATTAATACCAGATCTATCTTATCCAGAATTACATATTAAATCATCACCACCTTCGTCTCCTTCACCACAACTCGAACTTAAATCGTCACCACCATCTTCCCCTTCTTCATATACTCCTATGAAATCACCAACGCAACCAACTCCATTACCTCAGACACAGTCTGCATCTGCATCATTACCGCAAGTTTCAAATCGACGTCGTCGCAGGAAAACCGCTCGTGAAATTTATTATGAGCAGAAATTAAAGATTAAACAAAAGTTGGCGGAAAATAAAATAGAAGAGAGAAGAAGGCTAAATCAATCTATTCTTGAGGTACTTAAGGATGTTGAGAAAAAAAAATTAGAGATGCTGAAGGCGTATTTAAAGTAGTTAAACTTGTCTATGTATTATAAACCTTTTGGTGAATGTTTTCTTATGAGGGTCAAATTGTTTTGAAAGTTTAATAAAGAATAAAACAAATGTCATAATTTCTTGTGTGCCATTTATTCAGTGCTTTGTAATATCTCCTACTCAAAAAATATTTTCTTGACTCACTATATACATACAAACTAAACTATTTCTGTAAATTGTTGAATTTCTGAAATATTTTAGTAACCTTATATGACTTTGTTTTCTTTTAAATATTTAAATAGTAGATCGCGTCTTTCCATATAAATATCGTCTTCAATGAGTCCTGCTTTTATATTATTGTCTAATTTCTGAAGATTACTGTCCTTAAAGTCATCAATAAGTACGTCATCTAAATCTATACATATATTATGAAGAACACAAGCACTAACAATAATGTTCACCATAAAACATAAATTCATTTGTTCAGAAAAATGTTGCAATCTTCTGAAGCGTGCCTTCAGTAAACTAAAAGCATTTACAACCACGAGATGAGTAGATGAATGCAATTTATTGAATAGTCGTTGACTCATAGTCAATTTGTCGTCTTTAAATTGTGACACCAACCAACTCGTTGATGAATAAGTTGAATCGCCTAATAAGAAGTAGTCCTTTGGAAATAATTCTTGTCCCTCCAACTGTGCTTTGATAAAGAGATTGGATCTCCGTAAAACTTTGCTTGAATTCATCGATCCAGGTTCACCACATGATAGATCGGTAAATCTTTTATCTGGATCAACTACTGCTTGCAGCACTAAGCTGTAGGTATGTGCTCGGTTGAAATAATTTTCTTTATTATTATTTGGTGCCTTTATTTGTATGTGCGTGCAACCGATGACTCCGATTATTCCTGGTATATCATTTTTGTCCTTAAATTTCTGTTCAACCTCTGTTGCGGCAGCATCTTGTGGCCACTTTATAAATTTATGTCCACTTGAAATAATCCAAGACGACAAAGTATTTATAATGTGCCAAGCTGTTGAATTTGAAATACCAAATAATCTGCTGAGGTTTCGAAAGGTTACCGTGTGACCTATATACCAAATATATAAATACACCTTAGTTCTGGGTGTCACTCTTGCTCTTCCACCAGGATTTGTGCTTTTGGCTATAGTAGCAGAATATTTCTCTATAAAAAAAAAATTAAAAAACATATATAAATAAATATAATAAAATTGTGTATAATATTTACTTTAAATATTGCACTATACCAATTAAAAATTCTACAGTTGAACGTCGAAGTCTCATGTGGGTCCTAAATTCAATACTACTGTAATTGTCGATAACATCACAAAAATTGTCACCCTTGATGGTTTCCTCTCGTTCGGAGTCATCGGAACTTGATGAGGACTCGGAACTAGAACTTGATTGGACACTATCTAAAATATCCTCTATTCGGACCATTCCACTCATGAGCAGCTCTTCACTTGAAAAGAAATTTGTTATCTAAAGAGGATATTTTGTAAAAACACACAGTTCCAAAAGCGAATTAGTTTCTTTACCAAGTTCGATATGGTGTTATTATCCATTTTTATATTTCTACTATCTTAATATATACATTTACACCTTTTAACATAACTATTTTATACGAATTATTAAAGTAGAAGTGCACAATAGTGTTTACAAATGCTACATATTTTTCCTTTAACCTTTACAAGTACGGGCAAATGCACCATAACTGTAATATAACGATTTGTACAGGTGGTCGCTTACGGTGAATGGCATTTTTGTAAAGCAGAAGAAGAAGGAGAAAAATAAATATATTTTTGACAGTAAAATTTTGACATTAGTCTTTTAAACAATTTCACTTTTATTGTTTAGTCATCATGTTATATTAAGGAAGTTTCCTGTTTTGTCTAGAATATTTTGTCACAATTCTTACATACTTTAAATAGCAGCAATCTACCTAGTAGGCAGTTAGTTTTAAAATGGAGTTTCCACACCTCGGTCAACACTGCAACGAATCCACCTGCAATCGCTTAGATTTCCTGCCATTTAAATGTGATTCGTGTATTAAGGTATTTTGTTCGACACACTTTAATTATGATAACCACTCGTGCATGGGTCCACGTCGTAAGGATATGCAAGTACCCATTTGTCCATTGTGTGGTGAGCCAGTACCCACAGCGCCAGGTGTCGAACCTGATATAACAGTGGGTCGCCATATTGACCAACAGTGCAAATCTGACACAAAGAAAATTTATACAAATCGTTGCAGCTATAGAAACTGCAAAAAAAAAGAACTTATTCCAGTTACTTGTAGAGAATGTAAAAAAAATTATTGTTTGCGTCATCGGCACACTACAGATCACGAATGTAACAATGCATCTGGTGTAAACGTAGATCAGCGTGCTTTAGCAGCGTAAGTTTTTACTTTATATCAAAATATTTTTTGAAATAAACATCCGTTTCTATTTTAGTACTGCCGCCGAATATCGTCGCACAAATAAGCCAACTTCATTGTTCAACGCACAGCCAAAACGAAATGTAGTACCAATTGGCACACAAGTGCAAAATATTCAAGGAAATATGGTAATTAATAATTTCCAATAAGAATTACTTGCGAAATGCTTAACTCTTATTATTATTTTGTCGTTTTAGACAGAGGATGAAGCGTTGGCGCGGGCACTCGCTTTATCGATTATGGAATTAGACGAAAGTGCGGATCGGGAACGTCGCAATCAAGCTGCTGCGAATTCTTCAGTACAAGCCAATGCTACAGTACGTGTAGGCGGTCGTGATGGACAAACAACAAATGTCAAGGACAAATGTTTACTCTCGTAGTATGGGTTCGACGAATTGTTAGAATTTAATGTTTTACAGGCTGTATAAGATTTAGTTTATAAAATCTAACATACTATTAATATTTAGGGGTTTTATTTGCGGCATTTAATGAATGAATATTAAAATTGTAATGTTTTGCAAGATGCCAGTGCGCATTAGCAGTTAATACAAAAATGTTTAAGAATTTAAAACACTCTTTAAATAATTACGTGGTGCACCGGTGTATATACATTACAGATTTTGGTGTTCAGTTAGTAAAGATGCCTGTTTCTTTATAATTTGTAATTAAGCTAATAGTAGTGGAGTTAAATTTAGCAGACTATAATGATGAGGCGTTGTCCTCTGTAGCGAGTCATTGTTGTACTTGATTTACAAATTGTAGTTGTTCGTTTTAAATAAAATAGATGCTTATATATTAAAATAAATTCACAAAAACTCGTTTTGATAATTGCTTTAGTACATACATATATGATCGCACCTTCAATATTTATCAAGGCAGAGCAGAGCACCACCCACTGGGTCTAAAGTCTTCGTGTTTTACTCATATAGCCCTGCTTTTTCCACGATTCTCACAGTTGCACCAGGGCTCTTACTACTTGCCACTAATTCTCCTGGCCTCTCACTGTCTCTTCTCGGGCCACACGGATTGTCTCTGCCTCTATTCAGCTCTTATTCTGGCTACCCTCTAGCTTTCACATATTCTCTTCGGCTTTCCTACGTGCCCTGTTCGGTTATCCCCTGCTCCTTCCGTCTCTCACCCGCATCACTCAGAGAGACACACTAGCAAGCGGTATCTTCTATTACAAGTGTCCCATAGAGTCCTGGTGTTTTCTGTTTGCTAATGCCATGCATTAATTTTGAATTAAATTTTTTTATTTTGTAATCCCGAAAACATTAGTTAAAAAAAGAAAAATTAAATTCTTAATCGAAAATACCGGATTGAATGATAAAAAAATGTTAATCCACACAAAAAAAAATTAAAAATTAAACTTTGAATTCTAATTACCGGATTGAAAAATAAAAAGTGTTAATTCCAAGTTTATAATTAAAAATAAAGAAAAAACGTGCGATGCATTTCTTTTAGCATAAAAGGGTGTAAAAGAAAGATCTTTATATTGACTTTGTTCGATCAGTATGAATAAACTTTAAAATATTCGCAAACCCTGCTCCAACTCACATAGCATATCTGAGGGTTTTCGGTTCCGTATGTGTCGGGAAATATGTAAGGTACAAGAATCTTTATAAAATAGTCTTTTCTTAAATTTTATTGCTTTGGTGCCGAAAATTGAGAAAATTGGTGCAGACATTTTTCTAGCCTCCATATACTCAATATATTGGTCTTCATTGCTATGATTAATTTTACTAAATATACCAGTCAATTTGTGAGATTAATCAGTCATATTTTTTGAGTTTATTTCTTTTATCATTGTGTCTTTTGGGACTGGATTGTTAAAATCGGTCCAAATCTTCCCTGCAATTCTGTATGACTAATTCATTGAACTAGGAAAATAACTTTTCCATGCCAAAAAAGATCTGAATCGGTAAAAGTTTTACAAACATTGAAATAATTCCCACTGCTCATGACCTCATACAAATTTCGAGAGTAGCAGCTTCCGTTAGGTTTGAAATATTCTTTACAGTTGTTGTCTCGTCGTAGAATCGCAATTCGTACGATCAAATTATCGTCAATAATTAATCGTTTTTATTTTTTGTAGTTGCACAATTTGTGCAAGTTAGCCATTATCTTTCAGGTAATTAATTTTCATTAAGTACCTGATGTCACTTGAAACATGATCGGTAATTATCAATTAAATAAGTTCATTGAAATAGCTATATAGTAATTAAAAAATAATCATTAATAATAATTTATACGAGTATAGAAAGAAATTGAGATACCGGGTAAATTTGAAGACGTATAAAAACAACCTTATTGCTCGAAATAGATCGCGTAGGAAATTTTTACACACAAAATATGTGAATATGTAAACAAGAACTTACAAACCAGCATACATTTGAATGAATGCTCGTGTGACTTTCGCTATCAGTACGGAGCGTAATAGAATGTCTGCTCTCTCGGGAATAATAAATAATAATAAATAGGTTAATGAAAACAAAACGTACATACATACATACCTGCTTATGGCAAGAGCCAGACTAACGTTTGTGCAGATCACTCTAACTATATATTTACATATATATATATATATATATTTACATAAAAACCAATACAAATTTAAATCACGAACGCATATTTTGTATAATTTTGCGGGAAGAGCAATTCAGTGGGTTTTGTGGTCTGTGATTGAGTAGACAGCGGGGACAACGCATCCCAGAAGACGACAGCTATGCCATTTTTACTTATTTGGCTTCACTAAAAGCACACTTGCCGGCGTTTTTTTTTAACACGTTTTGCCATATTCTACTAGAAATAAATTGATTTTCATTAGATACACATACATAATATACAGTTACTCGGTATACAATTTCTCGGCAAATTCCTTAAAAGTCAACAATAGTTGTATAACATTGCTGATATAGTGATTATATAGTGTGTGAATACGCGAAAACGGAAAACAGTTGCACAAAAATGGCCAAATCGATGTTATTGATTTATTTATTGCTGGCTCTTGCAGTCTCTCCAACAAAAATCGTTGCTGGCGGTCGCATACTCGGCATATTTCCCCACTTTGGCTACAGTCATTTTAAGGTATTTTTTCCCCTATTGCGCACATTGGCGGAGCATGGTCATCATGTCACCGTGGTCACACATATTCAAGCGCCCGATAATACCACCAACAACTATGAAGAATTATTGTTAGCAGGTGAAAAAACCAGAAATATGGTCACTTTCAATGACGTTCTACCGCGTCGTCCGTTACACTATCTTTTATTGGAAGCAGATTTATTACATAAAGAGGGACAAAAAGCCTGCAAACGGTTCTATGAGAGCGGTCATATTGAAACGATACTTAAAAAACACGAGCAACAACCATTCGATTTGGTTATTACCGAGTTCTTTAATACGGATTGCCAGTTGGGCATACCATATCTGCTGGAAGTACCAATAGTGGGTTTAAGTAGTTGCTTATTAATGCCTTATTTCTACAATCGTATTGCCTTGCCTGATTTCCCCTCTCATGTACAATCTGAATTTGTCGGCTTCCCGGAAGAATTGAACTGGCATGAACGTCTACTGAATTTCGTACAAGCGAATGTAATCAAGAATCTTTATCGGTAAGAAATTATCAAGTGCCGGTTAATGGCACAATATAAATACAAATAATATACATATACATATATAATTAAGAAGTGTTAGCAATAGGGATTGATTATATGGAAACACATTAATCGAATACGCTTATAAACCTAGGAGTGACGATCACCTCAGATTAGCATTGTTATCAACTGTTACAGTCAGTCGAGAGATATGTATATGATGAAATTAATTTATTTAGCAATATATTTCTTGATGAAAGTGATATCTTCAATATGTAAGGAAGCACTAAGTTTAATGCAGCCGCACTTTATATATTATTGCGATTCGTAAAACTTAAGGGCGTGAAAATATTTCTAGGTGTTAGCATTTTTATACCCCCAACAGGGAATATTAAGTTTGCCACGAAGTTTGTAACTTTCAGAAGGAAACGTGGAAGACGCTATAAGGTATATGATTGTATATATAAACGATCAGAGTGACGAGCTAAGTCGATTTAGTTTTTCATATATCGAAAGATATGAAATTTTTCACACTTTCGTTTCTCCCCAAAAAGCTGCAGTCGCATCCGTCGATATTGGACCACTATAGGTACTATATATAGCTGTCATACAAACAGATCGATCAAAAACAAAAATTAAGTTCTTGTATGAATATTTTTTGTGATAAATTGGTATTCTCATACATAATACATACATACGAACGATGAGCTATTTACATATTAGGGGCATGCTATCGGGAATATTGAGTGAAGCGGAATGCACTCATGTCTGCTGTTGTTTTTTGCATAAGCCAATATAATCAATAATCTTTATTTGTATCTCAAATGAAATACCAATTTAGAAAGTTATAGATTTAAGCGGTATGGCTACTGTAGATTCATTATTTTTTTTCGCGCTTTAATCATTTATTCACAGAACTAATGAAACACTTACCAAGTTTAAAGCTCAAGCTGATGAAAACTTATTTTTTTCGGTTAACTTTGTTGACTTTAATAAACAATTCGTTGTCTCTTTGATCGTGTTTTTAAGCGCGCCGCGGCTAGACATTTAACATCCACAAATGTTGTCCCGAGATAAAATAAAAAAAAACGTCGTTAATCTGCATGAAAAGTACTTAGGGAAATTTCAAAATATTGATTATTATATATATTTATGACTATAAAGCATAGTTTAAGTGAAATAAAAGGATTTTTTGAAATTGCTACAGTGGACATATTCCTTAATGCTCATAAAATGATTGGGAACTAAAATGTTATGTAACAAACCCATTTTTCAACGCTCCCATAACCAACATGAAAGTAATAGATATAATAGCTTACTGCCATTTTATTTTTGTTAGCTCTATCCAACTGCGAGTCAACAAACCCAAAATGTGCATTGATGAATAATGCTCCATTTAACCGACATTCCGCTGTACATAGTTCGGTTCCTCGGGAATTTAGCGTTTCCTTATTATATGTTACTATAATTGTTTAGCAAGATATTTTCAGAATATCTACTTCAACTGAATATATCTTCGCTGGTATGATAAGTTCCACATATATGCTTACATAATGAGATTGTTTCGATAGGGTTGAACAAAAGAGACATCATGACAGAGAAGTTTGAGAAATGTGATCAAATGATTACTGAATGCGGAGTAGTTTAACTGGTAGTTTACTAACGATACCGTATGCACACTTAATATTAACACAAAGATTATAAAAGTTAGTATTCAGCCTTTATGAAAAGTGACAGTTATCTCGTCTTTAAGTGCGCCTAATATAAAATAATTCGCCTCAAAGCCAGAAATCCGCACATTTTTAGTTTTGTCGAGTCTTGATTGAGATCTCTGTTATGCTATTTTACAGTTATCGCACAAATTATTATGATCGCAAAGTGATCAACAAATATCTAAATGTGGATTTCGATGTTGATGATTATGCCAAACGAAGCACCAGCTTCGTTTTGGTCAATCAACATTACACGCTACACGGTAATAAACCATTAACTTCACAATTAATCGAAATGGGTGGTATACATATCGATGAGACAGCACTAAATGCGCGATTACCTGATGAAATTGAGAAATTCTTAAAAAATGCACCAGCCGAAGGTGTGCTCTTCTTTAGCTGGGGTTCTATGGTACGTTCGTCTAGCATGCCCAGTGAGAAAGTGCAAACAATAGTCAAAGTGCTCGAACAACAGCCTTTCAATGTGATTTGGAAATGGGAGACTGATGAAGTGCCAACGAAAAGTAAGAAGTTCCTCTTCGTAAAATGGGCGCCACAATTTAGTTTGATCTGTGAGTATGTGGGACACGGAAGAATTAAGAATTGATGACATTTATATTGTATATATATTGCGTTTATATAATTTTCTGTAGGTCATCCCAAGGTGAAATTATTTTGGGGGCATGGTGGTCTACTCGGCACCACTGAGAATATATACTGTGGCAAACCGCTAATTGTCACACCACTCTACGGTGATCAAAGCGTTAACGCATACGCGGTACAAAATCGTGGTGTAGGCTCTATACTCTCCTTCGACGATATTAATGAAAAGAACTTAAAAGCGACGCTTAAAGAGATGCGCCGCAAGAGGTGAGTACGGTGCTTGTTTGTGTGTATATTTAGATATTAATTTATCTAATACTCCTAATTCTTATTTTGCATAGTTATGCTGAGAATGCTGCCGCGCTTTCGCATTTATTCCGCAATCAAAACATGAAACCGCTGGACAGAGCCGTGTGGTGGGTGGAACATTTGTTGCAGGAGAACGGCAAAATGGCGCATAAATTGCTGCAGACAAAGGCGGTAAAACTAAATTGGTTCGTCTATTACTCACTGGACAGTGTGTCAATTATTGTGATCGGTCTCGCGTTGCTCATCTTCATTATACGTGCGCTTTTGCAACGTTTGTGCGGCCTTTTCAAAGGCGGCAAACAAAGTGGCAAAGTGAAAACGAAATAATTGTACTAAATATAAATATTATTGAATAATAAAAATTTTGCTTTAGTTTAACTTAGAATTTTACATATTGTACTTAGAAGTTATTGTATATACTTTTGTCTTTTCCAAACTTTTTAGAGAAATTAATTCTGTAAAAATTGTTTGTTCGTCAATCTTCCACTTTGACAATCACACAATTTTTTTGACATCAGACGTCCAAAGAGTTTTGGCTGTATAGTTTGATGCGCAATGTGGTAATAATGATAGTTCCTGTCACAAACCCGCAACCACACAGTCACTTTTTAATTTAGTCTGTTGAGTTAAGCTTTTACGAGATATTCATAGTCAAACATCAATGCCTATTAAAGGGTAACAAAAAAACAAACAAAAAAGAGAAAAAATAGACAATTTTTAAAGAGCATACAATTTCCTACAAGACTATGAGCTTTGCAGTTTAAAGTGATGTTTTTTCATTGACTTGTAAAATTTAAAAGAAAAAAAACAAATTTTTTTTAAATAGTCAAATCTCAACCGATAATATCTTTAAAACGATTAGGTTTAGGGAAAACCCGTAAGAGACCATATTATAGAACATTAATCTATGAAACGAGATATTTTTTTCAAGTAGTTGGAAGCGGGATATGAATTTTTTTATCTGATAAAAAGAAAAAAATGGAAACCCGTAATTAAAGGACGTTCCCGTTACAATAAAGAGCTCATACTTGGAGAACATGACTTAGAGATGTGTATTAACAAATTTATCATAGTACGAAGGGAAAGAAAAAACATTTGTTTTTTTGACCCACCCTAATATACATGTATGTAGTAGTTATTGTAACCTAACTTACGTGTAGCAAGCGTCAAGATATTTTTATTTTTATTAAAGTTTCATCTGTGCGGACAGACGCTTTCGTCTTCGCGATCATTTTGATATATATAACTTTATACCAATCTCGATTAATTTTAATCTTATGCATACTTATATTTTCAAAAATTAATCCTAGGACATAAACATGTGGACTCTTTCGTGTAATTAGTTTAAGGCCTTTATGTCGGAAAATAATTAATTACATTGTTGGCGAGTGTTATAATCAATGTATAACCACTAAGCGGATGTGATTATATTATAACTATAAGCAATCTCTTATCTCGAAAATGAGAGTCTACCTTATTGAGTCGCTATGACAGTTTTTGGCAAACCCTGTATATCATATACATATCTCAAATGGACATTGTAAAAATGCCAAATACGGCTAGTTTGCATATTAATGCCGCTAAACAGTGTGAAATTAGCTTTGAGAAAAACTATTGTCAATGCAAAGCGTCACCATTTCGTGGCGTTGTTTCGGTGTGTACCGTAAGTCGGTTATTTAATGTTTAGTTAGCATTTAAGATCGCAAAGACAATCAACAACTTCAAACAATCTTTGTCGAATTACTCATCACACGCCTTGGGTTCTGTGGCCAAGGTGTCTTATATGTCGTCTTTCAAGTAGTTTGAAGCTATCAATGTTTTTGTAGAACTCGTTTGGCTCGGTTGTTTGCTTCAAATCGTTTTTAATGGGTTTACGGTAGTTTATAATCACATTTGCTGAGCGATATTGATTTTCTGTCATATTACCTTTGTATCTTTCAGAAAATCTTCTATTGACTATCTAGTTCTAGTTGTAAACCTATCTAATAGAGAGCTAAATTTTACCAATTTCTTTAGTTGTATCCGTTAAGTTTGTTGTAAACATGATTTTTTCTTACATCGGATGGTATATCTGAAGAAATGCTTAATCTATTTTTATAATCTGATTTCGATTATATACATACATATGTACCTACATATCAATTGAGGTTGTTTTTAAAAACCGTAAGATCAATAATTGTTCAAATAGAAATCCAAACATATTAAAAATTATCTGTATTAATATCTACTCACCAACATTCTTGCTAAGATCTGCTTTCTGATGACACAGCCATGCGTCGAGGAGAACTTGGACAAGTTCATTAAATCACGCATATGTGGTTTTCCATGAGCAATCGATGTGTATATGAATTATAATGCAATATAAATTGTTATTTAAATATGAGGTGCTAAGTAAGTGTCATACATTTCATTGCAAATACGCACAAAATTATTCAAATCTGTGTAAATGTGAAAGTAATTGAAGGTGGACCACATGAAATCAATAATCAAAATAGCCAATTCAATTCCACAAATATCTACATAAATATGTGTGTTAGTATATAGGTATACGCACATGCGCAGAGTCGCAGCGAGAAGGTGAGTAAGCACTCACTATTGACGTCACACATGGACCGAATGACAGCATCAGCGCCATCAAATCCCTTCTAAATATCTCTAATCGTATTATAGTTGTATGAAAAGCAAGATCATGTTCTCGTTATATGTACGTACATACATATGTGAACGTAAGTAGAGAGAATTTCTAGAACAACAAGTGTAGCTTAAAAAAGGCCATGACAATGACAATGACAGTGACAAAGCACCGTTCGTTAAAAAAGCTGCTAAACAACGTATTCTTAACATGCTCCAAACAAATCGGTTTATTATAACTTAAATAGAATTTTTACTTCGAAATAAGTAAGTCATCGTTTTTTCTTCAGCTTACAGATAAGTCTCTCCAATAGCACAAAATAATAATTGACGAACAGGTCTTTGCTTCAAAAACCCCACAAGGACTGATATTGAACATTATCTAAAATTAATTATTACTTTTTTATACTATTATTCTACAATCGTGGATTATCATTAGATTACTTAATCACCCACTTCTTTGGTACTCTTTCTAGGGTGATGTTTTGTCTATCGCTTGTATTCTTGAAAGTTGTCTGGTTGCAAAGCGTGGTCTAAATGAGGTTTTTAAAATTTTTATGATTTAATTGTTTAAGGTTTCGATAGTTTCTTGTAAAGAGGCTATGCATTTTCAAAAAATCGAATTCTGTTTCTGAAAATATTCTCCGAAAATTTGAGTTAATCCGGCAAATAGTTTCAGAGTTATTTGCGTATTTTTAAATTTAACTTAATATAAACGACTCCCCAAACTTTAAACGCCCTATTCTTGAAACGCTGTTTTCAGAATCAGTAAGAAAAATTTCTCCGAAACGACTGGACTGATCGATTCGAAATTTTCACACGACCTTCTTAGTGATACACATACATATGTCAG